GAATTGTCACTTACCCATCCACATTCCATGGAGACTTTGAGCGTTGGCGGTATCCACCTTATGGATATTGTCCGCGTCCACCGAGAGAACCGGTGTCGTTAAAGGCATTCTCGCGACGCCACAACTAGAAGTGAAGCTGATTGTAGTTATTGAGGATCGTTGATTGATGTTCCGGGGTCGCCGTCTCCCCCGATAGTGGTCGTACGGCGCTTGAGATGCAGTGGTGAAAGTTCGTAAGAATCAACCGGTTTTTAGAATGGACCTTGAAATTTGAGTCTGGGCCCTGCGGTGTGATGCAGAGAGTCGATCAATCGGGTTTGGCGTCTAAGATGCAATCGAAAGCTCACGCGAAAGATACAGGTTGAGGAAGGATTTAGATTTTCAAGTGAAGTGAAGAATCAGGTGTCGAATGTCCGTCAATTTTCCGTCAGAGCGCCACAGTGCGGAGATTCCGGGGCGAAGAGTCGGAGAAACGGAGCGAGTATTGAAAGAGCGGATTGAGATGATCCTTCAAGATTGACGGGTGAGAGAGATTGTGGGTTGAGAGTGAGGTGAACGGTTTGAAAAAAAATCTGGAGAAGGAAGAAGGAAGAGAAAGGGAGTCGGAACGATAATAAGAATGACGGGGGGCGGCACTTTGGTGGAGTGGAGTGGAAGGAGAGGGGGACGGTAATAAATTATTAAATGAAAATCGAAAAAATAATTTGAAAATCGAAAATCGAAAAATCGAAAAATCGAAAATTGAATTATTCCTTAAAAAGAATAGGAATTATTGGAATTATTGGTAAGAACATGACAATACAAGGGGAAAAATAATTGAAAATTAAAATATGAAAATCCGAAATAACTCCAGACCGAGGATAAGGGTCGGTGAAGGGGGAAAATTCGATCGCATCACGGGGCCCTGAATTACATTGATACCATATCCATGTATTCAGATCCTCCGTACCATGGTTTCCACTGTGTCCCCCCAGTACTTTAGACTTTCCTATACCTTCCCGACCTCAGGAAGTTCCGAAGTGTCCCCATAAAATACATTGGTATTGTTAGTACCAGTTTCCGTTTCAATATCCATAGATACTAGTATTGATTACCTAAATATCAGTTGAACCTTCCCAGCTTGGAAACCAAGGTTCCCTCCAGAGCTTCAATACACATGATGTAGGTATTGGTTTGAAGTAGGTCGTCTCCAAGGCTCTAGGAATATTGCTTACATTTCAAAGAGCTTACTCCATATTAAAGAATGAGAAATAATCAAAGCCTTTAAGTGCCTGTGACCTGTCGGAGTAAAAAAGAAATTAATAATAAAATAATAAAATAATAGAAAGAAAATGCCAAAGTGTACTCCGTACGGAGTACTGATCAAACGATAGCCTTCCAACGCGGTAGTTGCAGTGACTTGCCGGAAAAGTCCAGACCAAGGCTCTCTCTACGCCACTTAATGTATCTCAATGGTCGTTTGGACATTTGACATTTGACATTTGGGCAATACATCTCGCCACTAGCAATCTACTCTTTACTCCTAAGAAAAAAAAGAGGTCTACTGACTGATGAACTGTCAAACTGTCAGCTATTGGTTCTGGCAACGCTGAAGGTCCGGCTGACTTGTCAAATTGATGTCGCGTTTAAGCTATTTTCGTCACGGACGCTCTATACTCGGGCTATGGGGTTCACCGCGTCCAAAGGGCTAGGAATCGGTCTAAGGTCTCAAGCCACGTTGTGGTCATCCATATAGACCTTCTCACTTATTCTCAAGCATATCATGACCGGAAGGAAGTATTCATTGTCATGAGCTCAAGATTATAGCGGTCGAAACACAAATAATTCCGGAGACTATACACTTCCATCTAAGCGCCTCGTTGCTTTTACGTTTAATGGTTATTTAATTTTATCCATTCCGGCTGAAATCTGCGGTTTTCCCCAGCTCTTTTCCCCCGCAAGCAGCTATTACCCGGGAGAAAGGGGTGTTTCCAAGCCCGGCTACATGCCGGGGAACCAACGTACTTCTTCCATAGTAGATCGAATTCTGTTTTAGATGCATTGCTTTGTTTCAAAACAGGTAAATTCTTTTTATACAGCTTTCATCGGTGACAATTCTGAGGGATATTCTGGTAGATCACGTCAGGCCTCAATCATGTGGATGGGAAAAAAAAGCAAATCAGCCACAGCTTCATTTCAAGAGAGCGCGCCAGCCTGCGCCAGCCTTACCGCCCTTTCTCTTTTCTTATCTTCCGAATGGGCATATCCTGGCCAGATTTTCTATCTTTGTCTATTCAAATAGGACACGACAGTCGAGAGTGTCACAAAGCTAGGCTACATAGTCACGAGTCTGCCAACTCAACTGTCATTGCATTTTTCATTGGTTTTCCTTGCTTTTCCTGAGAAACGAAGTTAACAGATGACGGTCGACATGAGCAAGGCCGCAATACGAAAGAAGCCGGTTGAGAGATGTCCTTTTTTTTTTGTCATGGGGGTTGAACGCTTACAGTAAACCTTGCTCTCAAGCCCAGACTGGCGGAAAAGGGACTGTATCTTTCCCTACCCGATCATTCCAAACCTCTAACCGGACGCCTGGGAGGCCGATCTTCCAGGACACGACCCCTGCTAGAGCAAAGTCACACCAGGTGCACGTTTCATCTATCATGTGATATTGCACTATGAAATCCCTGTTCATAATAGAAAATAGCTACTACCTACGTAAGTAACTTGGAATCTGACCGACACATATTCAAGCCTATTATTCCTTGTCAACAGATTATGTGGAAGTCTACAAGCTGTCATCATCTGAGACTCTAAAAGTGTAACCAGAGCCCTCGGATTTGCGGGGATCTTGATGAGAAAAACAAGTCTACAAATCGGTGCATCGGAAGAGCTGGTGTATGAAAGTCGTTTGATATCTCATTTCCCTCGCAGAAGGTCTCAGTTAAAAGGTATTAACCAATCAATCATTGTGTATCTTCTTTGACCACCAAAAAAAATACCGAAGTCGTCTGATTCGTTCAAAACGGTTCGTTGGTAACAGACGTATCCCTGCGGATGTATGACACTACACCATCATCTACAGGATGCAAAGCATTGTCTGGCCACTTGTGCAGTCTAACTTTTTCATAGCTGCTAACCCCCTGTTTACAAAATCCGCACAACAATGTCAATGGCATATGGAAGTAATTTCGATGAATAATCTGATGAGAGAAACAACAAAGCATAACGGAAAAACTCATTTCTCTTGACTCATCTACTCGTCTACACATTCAGCTCCTGTCTCACTGCGTAGTATTCGGGTGGTACCAGGTGGCAATATAAAACTACACATAGGATACCTCATTAAACTAGACATGCTGCATAAATGATCGCGTTAAGGCTGCGGCTGGCAATAGCTCGGGACTGGGGAAACGGAAAGTCACGCCCCACTTCGATAGGACATGGGTGACAAAAGCCGGGATGCTGGGGTACCGAGGTCCCTGCTAGGCGGCCGAAAGGATTATCGCCAGGCGATGGGAAACCAGTACCCGGGTGGGGCATTATTCTATGTGCTGTATACAAAATACAATCGTTCCCACTAAATGTGGTCACGGGCAGACCGAGGCGCCAAAGCGGAATCAGACCGAGCCCAAGGCTATGGCAGATGACAGCTGATGTAGGCGCAGGTCATTATGAGGAGCGCGCTTCGGATTGTAATAGGGCTACATGGTGCCGATAGGGCAAATTAAGGAGTTAGGGCATCAGTACCCACAATCCCATGCGATAGTACAGCCCGCATTTCGGGGTATAATGACCCGATTCTGTCTAATCTGAGTAATAGACCGAAGAGACAGCTCATAAAGTGGCAAAGTCACGCGCAGGTCACGTCACATGATGTGGGGTTCCAGGAACAGGGCGCCACCTCAGGGGCTTGTGACTTTTCCCAAGTTGACGCCTCTTGCCATATGATTCTCTTCAAATCTCCTGCATCCATTTGGGCTATGTTGGTGCCTTGCCAATCACCTGAGTCCATGTGACACGGAATGGGACGCCTCGCCCCATTCTCTTATCTCATTATAGTTTATTTTATTCCTGCTTACTGATTGAACCATCATAGCGCTGCCCAATGCAAATGCCTTAGCTCATTGATCCACGCAACGGCTTGGAGTGACAGCTGAACTGTCCGACCCAATGATGTGACTTAGTGGCACGAAAACAGATACTGGCTTTCTAAATTCAATCTACACGGACTCCATGCCTCAGGGGTATTCAGATCCCCTTCCCCTCCCAGGGGAGTATCACTGTCATACAGCATATTCGTCCATCTCCCATCCTATCATATACTCCTTGTAATATACCGCAACTCATGCATGGGACGCAACACCATGCGCCGCGTCGATCAATGAGATCACCGATGTTTCTATCTATTCGGGGTGCACATACTACATAATGTGGCTGGACGTAACAAAGAGCTCTATCGGAGATTCGACGGCAATTAATTGAATAACAAGAACCTGGAAACCCTCTAATTTGGAATCGACAGACTAAGCTTAACGTGTCATTGTTCCTAGATCAACGCGCTTCGCGTCAACAAACCAACGGTCAGAGCCGTCGCTCCAATGTGATGGGGCGCCACCGTCACTACATTGGACGGCCAAACATGTGGCATATAACGGTTTATGAGGGTACGAGTATCTTCAATAATCAATAATTTAATCCTTTTCATTCCTACGGTCTGAGCTCAGGGAGATTACGGATTACGCACCATTTCGACCTCGTAATTCTTTGTTTTAAATGTTGATATAGATCGCAAAATTGAGCAATGATACAGAGCAGTAAATAGGACATGTCGCGACCTCCAGAAGTCCCCGAGGGGGTTCTCTTTGTATCACATCAACCAGGTAGCAAATCACATTCCCCCATGTTCCCACTTTATTTGTAGCCCGCTTCCCCGGCATAAATGTCTGTGCTCAGATGAAATCTTAGTGTCTAATACATATCTAATCCATAATTAATTAATCTAAAGGGGGAACCAGGTATCAGGTATCGTTTGAGGCCTGGTATCCAAGCGAGAAGTCAATCAATTTCGAAGTTGAAGAGTTGACTGGTACGAGCAAGGGGTACTCGCGGACTACGGGAGTCGAAGCCGGACATAGTTTTCTAGATTCACAGAGTCAGGTGGACAACTGATCGATGAACCCAATCTAGAAGCATTCATACCAAATGAGGCACAACAACATGCAATTGAGATATCCTTCAACCAGGTACGAAGCACTTCAAGTACGTAATGATGTGGTCGTGTCCTTTTGTCCGGTTCCCTACTCTGCAAAGATCGACTTACCTGTGGATAATGCATGTGACCATCAACAAGGGATGGATATCCGGGGAATCTTCCAGATCGAAAGCTTGCTGTATCCGCGAGGCTGGTAGGCCCCATGAAACTAGCCGAGACGAGGATGGGATGTGGGTTCCTGGATTCTGCGATCCAGCCGGAAGCAGCACTTGCATATCCGCAACGATCATTTTCTTCCGAATGTCTCTGGATAGTCCGCTTCTAAACATCATGTTTTACTGGGACAGGTGACACCCAATATATCCCTATCCTAGACGAAGATCGTGCTGGTCTTACGTATTCTGTCTTTTTGTTTTTTTATAACACCCCTCGCTCTTCAATATCGCAGTCACATCCAACTATTACAATAGCTCGGGCTGAGGTGGTCATGTGTGTAATTCTTGTTGCTAGTCCAACCATCGCAAACTAGCAAAAGAAGAAAAACACATACATGCATACCATCGAAAGGTCTAGCCCATTATCTTGTCTGTGCGACCCCTGGTCCCCTATCGTCGACAACTCCCTTGTTTGGAGTTGGGGCCCAATAATCAATCCACCCTGTACTTTCTGCAGATCAAGTTCCCAGGTATTCGGTAGCCCTGGCATGCTTGCTCTCATTTTTCAAACGTTACGGACCCACTTCCCTGATGTTGAACCTTGTGCAAGGGTCTATACATACTCTACTCGATATAGCATGGAGTATTTGGGCTTCATGCTTTATCCGCCACCTCGTCGTAACATATTGTTTCTGGGAAAGCATTCTGTGAGTGAAATCAAGAAATAAATGCATATTGAATGCTGGTTACTGTTTGTTTCTCTTTCTTTGCTTGTTCTGGCTGTCTGGTATTTGAGTTAGTGAGTAACAACCCCTGTCGTAGCCAGGGTTATTTTCATATTGTGGACTTCCACACCCCTGATTCAAGATCTTCAATTAATTCCTTTTGTAGGAAGTAGGTTTGTACAAAACCCAATCCCAAACACGAATCCCAAGCCATTCATTTCCCCAAAGAGATCATAAGCCGGGTTTTGCTTGTTGGGATGGTCGGAGAAACGAAGTAATCAAAGACAAGAGTCTCCAGAAATAGTCCAATTTACAAAACCACCTGACTAAAAACCTAGACCGATCTACCTATAGAAGGGCAAGAGACAATAGCTTCTTTTGTGTTCATTATCATTGCGCAAACAACTGGATAATATACGTGCTGATCCCAGGCCGCCTAGCCAATGACACCCCCACGTTGCAAGCTGACTGCATCAGGCCTTGTGCATCCGGTGGCTATTTAGGGCGGCTATCTCCTGACAGTTCTCTTTGCTTTTATTCCTCGCCCAGGACGGCAGTAGCGGCTGTGTACAAAGATCTGTCTCATCACCGCCGGTTCGGAGTCTCTCGGCGTGTGATTGTGGCGGGCGATGGCTGAGATGGCTGTTTTTGATTGCTTATTTTTGTTGAGATGGAGGGTTTCATCGACACGTAGTCTAGGCCACCAGGAATCGAAACCTTGTTTGATACCGAAGCCTCTTCTGTATGGTTATCACTGTGGCTTCTTTGACAGCGCGCCATGCGACGGGTGATTGATTAGTCTCTTTGATCGTTTGTGACAGCACTCTGTCACTACTGATTGTGGACGCTTACTGGGTATTGGCTTCAAAGACTTGAAGTCCATTTTTCATGTTTCGTTTGTTATGTGCACCTGATCACCTGTCAGTTTGTTGGGCTCTGATCTGGAGCCTCCTGCAAGCAGGCTAATTTATCCGGGATTATCACCTGCTTCCCCGTCAGCCGTGGCTGTTGTTGGTCGCATAATGTTTAGATATGGACTGAAAACAAAGACCGTCACGTACATCTAATCAAACATGTTTTGTTGAGGCTTGAAGAATGGTTGCGACCTAAGGGTTCTAGATGCTGTGATATATATTTGCGAGTATATAGCATACATAAAGACAACCCTTCCGACTCTTGTTTTTTAAGAGTCAAAATTGGTAGAGTAATACGTGGACTCCATAACAACGCTACAAATTCCCGAATGTAAAATAAAAAAAAATTCCAAAAATACTCCCAACCTTTCGCGGGGATCAAAATCCGGGGAAGCAACATTGAGGGGACACCCCGGACCCTGAGAGGCCGCTTTCGGCCATCCAACATGGTCACTGGCAAACCATTTACTATTTTCGACCTGACGCAAATAGAATACAAATAAAAAAAGGAACACTAAGAACAGAATACGGAATTCTGAAAAGTATTGTCACTTCCTGAGCAATACATGCCCTATACCGATTTTCCATACTCCAGTACAGAGTAGGCCGCAAACAACTATATATCCGTGAGACTGGAGTTGCCCAAGGCAGTCAAAATGCCATGAACCTCAAATATAGTGGTCACTGGGTTTGTGATGTGTCGATGGTTAACAGGTTGCGTCGTCGTGTGATGAGACCAACGGTTCCCTGAAGAAGCGGTAGAACAACTAAATGACCACATATCGGGAGTGACAGTTGCTGACTAGCAGCCGAGGAAGATGCCCAATTTACATAAAACGGCTGTCACGAGAAGGCTAAAAAAACGTCCGATATCTCAATACTGATCTACTACGAACGAAACGAAGCCACGTCAATTCACGATGCCCATGTGAACAACCTAGGTGGTTCAGATTCTAGCACCGACGAGGCTGACTCGACCATAACCCATGGTCCGAGGCCCCTTAGAGTCAGAAATGCCCATATTTACCAGTATCTTGATTCTGACCGGACCATGCTCCTTCTCGCATCCTGTTCCACATGGAGACGGGCTGCTAGCACTGGGTCATCTGAGCCGCGAAAATAATATCTCCGGTAGAAGTTTTCTTCAAGCATAGCGCGGCTATGTCAATTACCGCCATAAAATATCAGACATTCTATCTCCTACAGGATTGTGCAATGTAGCCCAGTCCTATTGAGAACGCAGGGCGCGGAACACAGAGAGAACCCACGCCGACCAGCAGCAAGCAGCATACCCTTGATCTAGACCTCTCCACCAACAATCTATCGGACGACAAAAAGAAAAGAAGGAGAATGACCAGCACAACCAATCCAAACCCGCATGTCCCACAAATTGCAATCTCGCCCCGGCCACGAAAATGGGCAGCCAGATCGGGACTAGCACTCGTACCTGTCAGCGGTCGTCACACCGCGGCGATGGGTTTGCATTCGGCCCGAGGTGGAAGATCGAACTAATTTATGTACACAAGTACCTATTCTGTCTAGGCAGGGTACATCGTGCCCCGCCGTACTCATCTACGGTTATGCTGGAGCTGACGTCCGTCTCCTGTGGTGGCGGCTGCCGCCTGTTTTCCAATATTCCAATGAAGATGCCCTGCGACACGACCCGCTGCAGGTCATGGGGGACTTTAAATTGATCTGCCGCGGGATGCAACACGTCTTGCAATCGCGTGTGCTATGTATAGGTATCCTCGATGCAGCTGGGGTACTGTTATGGCAACATTATACGGTCTTTATCCCGGCACGGCACTTACTATTGACTCATTTGCTTGAATTGATATGTGATTTCTTTATTATGTTTAGGTATCCAGATGGGGTCTGGTTAAGCGATCGCTTCAATATATGGTGACTCTTTTATCGCCTACGCCGAAGCGATCCGCCATTTCGACTACTCAGCAACGCAAGCCCACACATATAAGTGGCCATCCGCATAGATCGACACTTCTGGTTAAGGTATGTAGTCAGCCTCCAATGTCACAACACTCCCGATATCAACAGTTTACACGTGAAAAGAAAAAGAGAAAATAGAACTGGTCTAGACCTGTCTCGCCCTCAATCGAGCTGTATTGAACAGCAGAATTCTAAATCCTATGGCCACGAGTGGCGGGGAACTGAGGTCGCACTTCCATGCACTATGAAACCTCACCATCACCGCTTGAATCCCTGCACGAAGCTGAAAGCCCTACCATGCCGGTTCAAGAAGGAGATGGAAAAAAGAAAGTAATATTGTATTTCCCTCTATATGCTGGAAGAGCCTGAGAATAATGACGCCCTTTCCGCGAAGGCCAGGGTGCGTCTTGTAGAGCTATGAATATATCCATCCCACCGAGACTGAGACTGAGTACGCGGCCGTCACCGTCAAATTCCGATTCGGGCGTCCCGCCGAGGAAAGCTCCGAGGATCGTCCAACGTACTATCATTATCTATTTAATGTTCATAATTCCAGTCTGTCCCATAGGCTGACACTCTGTTGCTCGAAGTAGTTCCCTAGGGTCACGATGATACAGTAGAACACAGCACATTCGGGGCCATGAGCTTGTTCTAGATTTGTATAACATGTAGTACAACATCATTGCATGTATGAATAACGTAGATCACTACTGTTTGGTGTTGGTGTCAGCATCTTCTTGTCGTACAAATTATTTCGTAGAGTGGGGGTTCTCTATATTGTGCATGCAGAAGCGATCCGATCTTCGCTCTGCAAGGGTTTCTTCAAGAAGGAAAGGAAAGCAACCCGGAGATACCTCTGACACTCCCAGAAATCCCGAGGAATGCCATTAGGAGTATAGAAATATACAGAATGCCAACGCATCGTCCGTTTGATAGAACATCATGACCTAAAGTCGCATGCAAGGAAGGCTTCAGGTGCCCCCAAAGAAAGAATATACATTGGTTGCCTAATCCTTTTCTCAAACATTAAGATTCCATTCTCGTATCCGGGTAACAAGGAAATGTATACCCCCATTATAGGACAGGTCACCAGCTACCGGATCCGTTCGTCCATAAGTCTAGAAGACCTTATTGGGAAAGAACTATGACAGAAGAAAAAGACACCCCCACAAATGCCCACCGAGGTTAAACGGAAGCCAGGCTCCGAAAAAGCCAAATTTGTCAGTTGATGTTGAGGTGGGGGAGTGCATCCGTCTTCTTTTAGGTAGGTTGTTGTTCCTCGGCATATCGGGTGACCCTTGTGAACACAGACAATCCCACACGATCCCGAATGGAGGCACGGATCTCCCACGAGAACGAACTTGTCTGCTGGTATGGGAACCTTGGTTTTAGGCCTATAGTGATTTTACATGCCGTACTGGTATTTACTTGCTTGCCATGGTTTCGGCGAAGACTTCCGGCTCATATCGTGTGGTCCTGGGTTACGAGGAACAAGACCGAATCGGGAACTATGGGCGTTTGGGACTCATTGGTGAGACGAATATGTCGTACCGATAGGTTTCTGGTCAGGCTCACTTATAGATGTGCA